ATGTGCAGACACTTAATTGATCAGTATGTGGCACCAGAAAAATCCATTGCAGAATCAAATTTTCTGTGTGCTTATTCTCAGTCTATTGTGTGAATGAGGCAGACTTCCTCCAACTCTGTGTAGAGTGGAAGAGGTAGAGGATGAATATAGAGGCTGGGGCTTGAAAGACTTTTCAGAAGAGTTGATGCCTGAGCCAATGGATAAGAATGCAGTGGTCAGGTGGACAAGACAGGAGACAGCATGCAAAAGCATCTGGGAGACTTGGTGGATGCTTGACAAATGTTCATTGGCTGTGGCTGTGGTGATAGTGAATTGGAAACAAAGCATTATGGAAATGCTAGATTTCTGGGTTTTGTAATAAATGATTCATTAACATACATTTTGGGTGCCTTTGAACTTAACACGAAAATTTGTGTTCTTCTGAAACCATTTTAATACCTTCTACTTCTGTGTCTTCAAAGCTACTTACTAAATACATCAGTAAGGAGAATATGCAGTAACAGCTAGCTGATGCAAATCAGGGACATGCTGGGGGATTCAGGTCTGGCCTTCTCCACATTTGTACTCTCAGCCTTAAAATGTTCCGATTTCACGTAAGAACTAATAGGAATGCTGGTGTTGCCAACGAGGGCTCAACCTGTAGCCAGTTCACTTGGAAATAAGGTTAATGCTAGAGTCAGCACAAGTTCTTCAACAAAGTGCAGGCTTTTGTCTGATGTTGTTCCCTGAACATCTTCATTTACCTTTGAGTTTGTATATCTTAAAACTATTTCTCTCATGGCAATAACTTCCATAAGGAAAGTGAAGATGGATTTTTTTTTTGTCTGAAACTTGCCTCCCTCAAGGTTCTTGGGGCCCTACTATGTTCAAATATTCTGGTCTCAGCACATCTTCTGCAAGACAGTTTGAATGCTACTTCTAGAGAAGCAAGAAATGGACCTCTTATTAAGAGCTCTAGGTATAAAAGATTATTTGCTCAAAGTTACTGAAGAAGCAGAAACAAATTTAATTGGTCATGCTGATTAGCCTTTCTTCCAGGGCTACCAAGTGAGGCATAAACTTATGACAAGAAATACTCCCAAAATTTAGAAACAGCAGGACACTAAGGAAAAAAAAATCAAACCATGATGAATTTACTACAACCTATCTGGTTTTGAAATTAGAATATGCTTTCAAGTGTGAAGTGCTAATGGCTTTCTCGGTTTGTCTGGAAGTCATTCTAAGTTGTAATTGATAAAAGATAAGACATAATCTTAGAAACATAATCAAAATTAATAAAAAGTACACAAAGAAGGTAATTTACATGAAGCTTAGAAAATGGTGAATTGGAGGACAGCGGTGTGTCTCCACTCCTCACCTAAGAAAAAAGTTACCAATTCTACCCCCAGTTACCAGAACAGACCAGTTACCAGACAAGCTTGATTGATCAGATACATCCTCAAAGAGCACCCTTCTTCCTCTGCTCTAACTCTATATGACATTTGGTCTCCAGAGTATATCAGCCACCTAGAGAGAGAACAGGAATGGGTACAGATCATATGGCTCCTTTTAACTCCAACACTAGCATTCTGGTTTTCAAACGTGACTCTTCTGAGTTTGGTTAGTATAACTCAACTCCCTCCCAAATTATCCTTCCTCAGTGAACTGACAAATTGAATTTTGGAGCCTGTGAAGCTGAGGCCCAGTCTCTGGACCACAGCAACTTCACCCAGTGCTGCCAGCACCGCATGACAGAGCCAGCTGGCCTGGGGACCTATGCTGCAGAAGAAGGGAGGTGCTGGCCAGCACTCAGAGGCAGCCTGAACCCTGCCCCTTGACCCATCACATGGGGATGATAGTTTATGAGGGAATTAGGTGCAAGTTTTCCTTGCAGATTTTTTCAAGGCAGATGCCTAGCATAAGGGTTCTCAATGGTGACCGAGAGTTTCCGGCTCCCCTAGAAGGCACAATTCAGTGAACTGGCTGCCGTGGAGCAGCTGAGCCCTGGAGGCAATCTGCTTGAGACTTTAGTTATGCTTTGGAGACACCAGTGAGCCCTAGAAATGTGCAATGAATTATACAGAGAGCGACAGCTACCTCCTATTCTCCTCCCTTTGATAACCAGATTCACTGCTTCTGCCATTTAGCATGTGATTCCTCACAGAGGCTCAGGACAGTGCTATTTCTTAAAGATTTCCTGCATATTTCAAAAACTATGTCACACTTTATAGAGAGGGAGGACGTCTTAATATCTAATACCAATTCACAGTCAAATTTTCCCAGTTTTTCTAAGAATATCCTTCGCACCATTGACCAACCTAGGATGTTATATTGTACCAGGTTGTTATGGCCCTAAATCTCTTATTATAGAAGAATCCTTGTTTTTTTAAAAGATCCAGCCAATTACCCCATAAAATAACTCACCTTCTGTATTGATGTACCTGCTTACTTAAGGTCCCATTTATCTTGTGGCTTGTGTTTTGTGTTTTGTGCACACCCTAAAGCCTCAATTAGATTCAAGTCCAAAGGGGAGAAAAAAAAAAAAAAATATATATATATATATATATATATATAGGGAGCGATGTTGAATACTTTGTGTTGTCTTGCATCCCAAGACAATGTTGTCCTGGCATCAATGGTACTAAGTCTGAGCACTGGATTAAAATGGTGATCTTCTGATTTCCCCCATGGACACTGCTCCTCTTGTGACCTGCAATAAGGAGTCTGTATGGTAGTGCCCTGGTCCCCATCAAGAATTCATCTATTTTTTCAGCAGTCGCTAATCCTTGCCCCAATCAGAAATTTCCCTCTAGCATCTCCTTTTCCACAGTCAGCAGGTCTTATGCTGCATGCTCTCCAGTTATGATATGAAGCAAGACATTAGCTTCTTGATCCTAATTTCCTCGTCTGTAAAAACGAGGCTGGTCACGGCACCATCACACAGGATAACTCTGTATACAGGTTTTGCCTGGAGCCTGGTACCACAGATGCTTAAATCAGCATTTCCCAAGGTGTGCTCTAAGAATTAATGGTCCCTCAGTGTTCTCTACAGAAGAAAGGTCCACTGTTAAAATGATGTCTAGGAAACATTTGTGCATATTATCTGATTAAAGTTTCTGGAAGTTTTCTCAGGAAAGAAATCTGCTTCCCTTTGTTTAATCAAGTGCTTTCTAATTTATTTTGTACTCCTTCTCCCCAACCCTGCTTTTTAAAGCCAAGTAACACATATGAACTTTACATTAAATTGCCTTAAATTCTTCCAAAAGCTTCAACGGGGAGAGCGTCAAACTGATGAGCCAGCCACCTGTGGAGTTGAAAAGTGACTATACTGGCCTTTGAGTCCTGAAAAGCCACTCAAGTTAGAAGAGTTCTTAGGAGATTTAAATTTCTTTGTTGTGGCAAGAAAGGCAGAAATTGGGAACTGGGCAGTAATTCCAGAGACAAGATGTTTTCCCTAGATTTCCGCCAAAGCTCACCAGGACTTCTACAGGAGCTCAGAATGCTCCTGTCTTATAAGTGTCCCATAGCCACTAGGACTTGCCTAGGCTAACCATGAGTGAGTCCCTTGGACCAATACCCAGAGACTGGAGTGCAAAGAGGGCATCTTGGTTCAGTGGAAGAGCAGAGGATCTGGAACAGAGGATTTCAGAACAAGTGTAAATGGTCTTAGATCTTCCAGGTATTCACCATGAAACCTGGGAAAATCCCTTAATCTCCCTGAACCTCAGTTTCTTCATCTATGTAATTGGTGCAATTAAACTGTTTAGCTTAATGGTTATGAAGCTGTCATTAGATACCATTAGCATTTTTAAAACTATGAAGTGCTAGTAAGTCGAATTTCAATGTTGAGATTATTCTTACTGATCCATTTTCTGGGTCCTCTCACCTCATCTAATATTTTTTGAACACTTACTATATACCAAGCACTGGGGTAGGTGCCTATACAGAATATAGAATAAAGCAGCTCTAGACCCTGAATTCATGGAGCTCACACTTCATGGTGGGAGTCAGAGGATAAATACACACACAAATGTTTCAATAATTATAGTCCCTTCCTCCCAGTTACTGATGTGATATTTTTTGAATGTGCATCTCACTTACAATCCACTGTAAGTAGATGCATTTCAAAGGTAATATTCACAGACAGTTCTCATATATTAAATGAATTTGTCAGTTTCAGTAAAGAATAAGGAATTTACCCATAATGATATTGTGTGTTTGTGTGTGTGTGTGGGTGGGTGGGTTTGTGAGTGCAGTGTGTGACCAGAGGTATTGAGGCAGGGTCAGAAAGCAGACTTCTCTTCCCTGTTCAGAGCCTCCCTCTTGCTGGGTTCCATCTGAAAAGCATCATCAGAGTGCTCCTGTTTTAATCATGTGTTATAATCACATATGTAATGGAGCACAATTGATTCTCCCAAACTTTGTTCCATGAAAAATTAAAATTTCACTAGATGTCAATAAGTCATCACTTTAAGCTTCTTGGTCTGATTACTTTAGGAACCCTGCACCAGCCCCCGTCTCCACTTTAGAGATCCAAAAATATATATTGTGATTGTTAAAACATTATTCCTACAGTGAGGAAACCCTGTGAACTCATACCACCTGGCATTTCCCAAACTACAGAATTCTTTTAAATTCTTGAACAGTGAATGTGAATGTGCTGAATGGAAAGTGCAGCCTTACCATTAACTTGATTTTCTTCTTGCTAAAGTTTGTGAAAGCCTGGTAGTGCTCATTAACCCAAATTCAACCATGCAACTTTTTTAAAAAGCAGCTTCCTGGGCTTTAGGGCCTCAGGCAGACCCTGGATGTGTTGTGTTGTTTTGTGTAGGGGCAACAGCTAGTGGGATGTGTTTCCTTAAGCTGACCATGTCCTTTTAACCAGGGACCAGCATGGAAACAATAGAAGCTTAACGAATATGTTTCCATACCTCTTTGGAGGAAAACAATCCTCTTTATTTTTTTTTTTTATGATCATTTTTCAAACTTTCTAAAAATTATTGTTGTTTTTATTTCTTTAGGCATTCACAGGCCCAGAGTTCTCCAAACGGGTATGATGTCTTCCAAAGACCTGCGAATAAGGTAGCTGGACATTTTGATTCTGCAATAACTACATGTCCTTCCTTCAGACTCGACCAAGTCCATGGGCAGGAGACCTGTCCGAGGCTGCTTGGCTGGGCCATCCAAACATGAAACTCTTAATGATATTTTGAAGTCTTTGAGACAAAAGCCCAGCCTGCTAAAGAACTTTGGTTCAGTAGAGAGACAGGGAGGTACAGGCAAGAGAGAATCAAAAGCCTGGAAATTCGCTGCTGAGAATAAATGCTCACTGCTCCCTGAGGTGATTTGTCTGAGCACTCCACTCTACAGATGGTAGAGCCTCTTTCTGAGTAAGGACCCGAGGTTCTTTGGTAGCACTTTGATATCCTGCTCGAATTCAATATGTGAAATGGAGGCGTCTCTCTGTGACTTGGAGCCCACAGCAGGCTTTGAAGTCTGATCCAATTTTTGCTGCCTACTATTTGATGTTGAAAGGATGAAATGAAGAAAATGTACAGTTTTTGCCAGTAACTCTGCTGAGCATATGTAAGATTAAAAAAACAAAATCCTTTGGATGATGTACTTAGAAATGTTAAGTAGATTAATACCTTCCTATAGGTTTTCTTGTTTCTTTCTTAAGGATAAAAATTAAGTAAAGGTGAAAATCAGCACATAGCTGTTTTTCTGTTCTGGACTATAATTAATTTAAGAAGGGGGCTAGGTTGACTTGTGCAGAAGACACACTAAATTAATGAAGAAAAAGCATTGAGACTTTGCTTCTAATTGCCCCTAGGAGGGGACCTTCACTCAATTCTGTGCAAGACAGGGGCAGCTTACAAATAGCACCAATATACTTAGTTTCTTCCCACGACGGTCAGGGTTAAGGGTCCCTTAGTTTAATGGAAGCCATGTCCTTAAGGCTGCTTTATCAGAAGATTAAAAAATAATGTTTCTCTCACTGGGTCTTTCTGAAGAATTCAATGGCTGGGACTAATGCACTGACTTCTTGGACACATCGTGCTACCCCAGATCACCAAGAACTGAGTCCCTGTGAAGCTCCTTGGAAACCTGGTAAGAAGGATATTTCAACTGCATGTTTCTCCTACCATCTGCATGTTTGTGTACTTCTTAGTGAGTTGTTTGTGCAGGACTTTCTACAAGGCAGGACTCGATTGGATGTTCTAATGACCTATTGTTAGAAAGTTCAGGTTTGGGAGGCTGTAAAGTCTGAAGTCAAAAACCCTATTAAAGGTGGAAGTTTAGTGCCTCCTCCTGCCACCCTACAGTTACATTTCCCAGGGAAGATAATGAATATCTAAGGCCATACTTTTCCCTTTACTTGCAAGAATCTCAAATTAGGAAACTTCCCCAACTTCACCTTGTTCAAGGAAAGAAACTAACAGCCTTCAGTGGAGTAGGTAGGTCCTTCAGGGTCACAATCTGGAGCCTGGGAAAGGATGTGGATTTCGGCAGCACTTCTACACTTTGGGGAAACACAACCATTCTTTCAGCAAGAAGACAGACATCTTGTCACATGCCTTTGAGAAATGACATATGTGATCCCTTTTCTAAATTCCTTGCTACTCAATACAGTAGAAGTCAGTTTTAGGCTTGTAGGTGAGTATGATCAGTACTTCTGGAAGATAAAATATAGAAATCAATTATAAAGAACATCTCTGAAACAGAAAATACGTACTCAGGATAATATGGGTCCTTCCAAAGGAAAAACCTTTGTCAACTTAAGATATCCATGTTACTTAATGTCAGCCTCATCCATGTTTTGGAAAGATCCAGTAATTTCTCAGGACTCTCCAAATTTTTTCTTACTCTGTTTTTCTGTGACAAAACAGTGCAACGTGAAGTAGGAAATACATAATAAATGTGCTATGAACTTCAGTCCAAATGGAATTTAGACTCTTATAGAGAGACAAGAGAAGATGAGTCCATTATAGCAGAAACTTTTACAGGAAGTGATAAACCTGTCAAAGGCAATGTTACCCTAATAGTCAGATGGTGTTCAGGAATAAGGCCACAGTGAGGTAGGAGCAGGGCAACACAAAGAGGAGGATTTAGAGGAAAGACAGTGTGGTGGAGCAGAATCCCTTATGCAAGAATTTGGTTGATATTTTTTCTCTATCCACATTGACAATCTCTACCTTTTAATTGGGGTGTGTAGCCCATTTATACTTAATGCAATGATTGACACATTTTGGCTTAAATCTATCACCCTCTGTGTATTTCTATTTGTCCCATCTGGTCTTTGTTCTATTTTGACATCATAAAACAAAAATTAAAGTATGGTTGGATAGCTAAAGGCACAGGTTCTGGAGCCTCATGTGTGCAGGACCCTAGGTTTGGTACCCAGCACTGGACTCAAATCTCAGCCCTCCTGTGTAGCATCAGAGAAGTTACATAACAGCTTCCTGCCTGAGTACCAGTACTTAGAAACTACAGGAAACAGTAGTTTTCTCTGGGAGGGTTGTATCAGGATCAAGTGAACTAATACAGAGAAGGACACAGACTGGTACCTGCTTCATCAAAAGGGCTCAATAAATGTTGGCTGCTGCTGTGGTGGTTATTGTTAGTGCATATTATCACAAAATTAATCTATGAGTATGAACAGGTCAAGAAATAATGCCCTTATTTGTTGTAAGGCACTGGGTTGTGGTAGAAGAGTTCAGAGGGGTAAAAAAAATATACTGTGTTTTGAATTAATAGAATTAATTTGAATTAATTGAATTAAACAGAAAGACTTCTGGATCACAATCATTTTTTTTTCAGTCTTTGGAAAAATATCCCCCAGATCAAACTTAGTATGAATTACAAATCTGTTTTTGTTTTTTGATACCAGGGATTGAACCCAGGGGTGCTTAACCACTGAGCCACATCCAGCCCTTTGTTGTATTTTATTAGAGACAGGGTCTCACTGAGTTGCTTAGGGCCTCGATAAGTTGCTGAGGCTGGGTTTGAACTTGTGATCCTCCTGCCTCAGCCTCCTGAGTGGCTTGGATTACAGGAGTGCACCACCTTGCCTGGCTATGAGTTACAAATCTGTTTGGCTGTAAATGGCTCTTATGTGTTTTCCTTTCAAAACTGTCCCTTTTAATCTGAATAACCTTCTAGGGTGTCTATCACTCTTGCAGTCTTATAAGCCACCCTAAGTGGTTTCCCTGCCTCCATTCGTTTCCTCCTTCATTCTCACTTATGCACAGAAGCCTAAGGAGCTTTTCTAAAGCACAACCCTCATTGCAAGCTCCCTTCCTCCATACTCTTCAATGGCTCTCCAGGACCCCAGCACCAACTAGAAGCCTTTTGACATGACATTCAGGCTTTCTCTGCTCTATGGTCTCAATCTTCCTTTCTAGCTCTAATTTCCACTGATGACTCTCATTCTATGTTCGGCATCTAAACTGAACATGCCCGATGTATTCTTTCCCTCCTTTGTGATTTTTGTCATGCTGTCCCCTCTATGTTCCTTTCCCCTCCCTCTCCATCCTCCAAGGTCCCAGACTCCCAATCCTGTGCCCTTTGTACTTATTTTCAAGCATTTAGATTTAAACTCCCTGGGATCGTGTCTATGCCTTTAAAGATTCTCTCTGCATAACTCAGCCTCACATTTGCCTGTGCCCCACCACTGGGCTATACCCCAGCCCCTGCTCTGGTTCTTGAATTAAATTCTCCATCATCCAAAATCATAATGAAATATAGTGGAAGTGGAAATGAAATGAAACTCTACTTGAGTAAGTGAGAAATAAGTGCTTAAAGATATTTTTAATAATCCTGGAATAAACTTAATGTCTTCCAGTTATCACCAAACAGAAATGACATACTGGGAAAACAAGTTAAAATCATCCAAGTTGTTTCACTTTGCTGCTAATATTTTAGACAGGGCAAGAATGTTCTGGCTAGAAAAAGCATTATATATAAATCAAATTTCCCTTATCCTTAGCAAGCAATAAGGATGAATCAAAGAACAAAAAATTTACAGTTTTGTTTATAGTAGCAGTTGCAGGAATGAGAGCATATCTTCAAAAGGCAGTTTAACAAATTATACCTACATATTTAAATATACCTTTATATTCTTTGCCTTAAATGACTTACTCTTTCAACCCATGTTTTTGTGGTTGGCTGAATAAAAATACTGTAACCTTTTTAGTTTAAAAAGTAGCATTCAACAGCATCCAACTTGCAGCAAGGACAGACTTCATTGCTCTGACAGGCTGGGGGTCCATCTAAAGCTCCTGATCCCAAGCTCTGCCACACAGAGAAGTCTGTAAAGGTGGGTCTAGGCCAAAGCTGTCCCTTAGTGAGAGAATCTAAGAAATGTTACCAACTGGCCCATGTGCTCACATGGACAGAAAATCACAACACACCCAGAAAACATATAATACAAATCACTTTGCCACTAATCCAAACAGTTAAATTATTTAATGGGACCTACAGGAATGTATACAGACTTAATCTGATTTTCCTACATAAACATTTATTAAATATTCCTTAGGAATAAAAGTTCTCCTCTTTGTTTATTCATTTATTTATTAAAAAATAATTATTAATACTCATTAAATGCCAGAGACTGTCCTTAGCCAGTACTTCTCAAATTGTTTTGAAAGACCACTTTTCCCAATCATTTTCCAATTTGCAGTCTGATACTTTTATGAGACACAACAAAAATAAATCACCAGAAAAACAGTCATGCACTTGGATATTGTGCCAACAGCAAATTGGTCTCAACTTTTCTAAATCTCTGACTCTACACCAATTCACTCTTTACTGAACTTTCTTTACTAATCTTGGTGGGGACCAGTAACAGGAGCCAGCCTGCCGACCACATGACCACAAGTCAGTGAGCAACACAGGCACATTCCTGTTCACAAGATGCCATAGGCTAGCAGAGAGAAACAGGAAACAGCAAGCAGGATTAAAAAATGAAATAAAATAAAGAAGTCGGTGGAGTACTGGGGTAAGCACAGCAAGGGTGGCRAGGAGAAGCCCAAGTATGCAGGGTGGGGCTGGGGGTGGTTGGGCCTTAAATAGATGGTCTGGGTGGCTTCACTGCAGATTCCAGGTTTGAAGGCTTGAAGCTGGCAAGCCAGTGGCCTCTAGAAGAGCTCCAGGCAGGGAAACAGCCCAGGCAAAGCCCTGAGAGAGCAGGCAGGAGGGGTAGAGAGGCGCCTCTGTGATTGGAGCTGAGAGAGGAGAGGAGAGGAGAGTTGTAGGAAATGAGGAGCCAGACCACAGAGGGCAGCTCTTCAGAATCTTAGCCCCACCCTGGGAATCTGGTTAAAATGAAGTCTCTGAATCTGCAGCTCTGCGGGGCCTCTGACATTCTGTAACTCTCAGGAGCTTCCTGTGGGCTGCCTTTTTGGTCCCTGGCCCACATTTTGAGTTGTGAGGGTGTCATCTCAGGGAAGGGGCTAGGCAGCACTTCCAGCACAGGAGGAGAATCGTCTCAATTGTGTTTTGCTTTTGTTTTTGTTTAACTTAAATAATATTAAGTGCCAGAGGACCACCGCTGCCATTCAGCCCTACACCAGGATCACAAAAGCGGGGAACAGAACCTGCTCCAATTCCAACCCCAGCACCCACCCTTCCCACTCCTCCACTGATCCTTCTTGAATCCATTTACAGTTTACTTTTTTTTTTTTTTTAATTAGCGTTCTGTGCACACACCTGATCCAGGACCCACCACACCACATCCACGCATGCTCATGAGAAAACTTGCTCAGATTCATTCCACTGTTTTCCCTGTCTCTTCTTTGTCCCCTTCAAATCCAATACTGATCTTTCCTCTCCTTTGATGAAATTCCCTCTCTTTTTTTTGTCCGGTCTCTCTTTCTTTATTTTTGTTGTTGTTTTCTGGTTTTGTTTTGTTTTAAGCAAGCCCTCCAGCTTTGGGCTTAAGGATCAGTGGTAGATGTCGTCAAGGAATGAGACAGTCTGCATGAGAGCCTTTTCCAGACAAAGAAACTTTCTAAAACCTGTAACGGCTTTCACACTGAGTGTACCAAACACCATTCTCAGTGTCTCAGGACCTGATTATTAACAATTATCACACTGGGTCGTGATGC